GTGTGTGTGCGTCTGTATGTGTGGGTGTGGGTGTGTGGTGTGTGTGTGTGGGTGTGTGTGTGTGTGGGTGTGTGTGTGTGAGTGTATGGGTGTGGGTGTGTGGTGTGTGTGAGTGGGTGTGGGTGTGTGTGTGTGGGTGTGTGTGGGTGTGTGTTTATATTTGTGTGTGTGTGTATGTGGGTCTGTCGGCCTGTGTGTGTGTGATTATCCCTTGGAATGATGCAGATCATTTCCCATGGCAAGAACTTGTGTGTGGATTATTTTAACATGAAGGAGGCTGTTGCGCTGCCGCTATCGCACAGTTCTGGCTAATCATCAAACTTCTGCTCTTATCACCTGCCATAGGCAGATTGGAAGGATTTACAGATTGATCTTCAATCTGTTACAGCAACTTATGACACACCTTCCATGGTCATCAAGCCCTGAAACAGGACATAAATCTGGAGCTGCTTTCCCAGAGGTAGAGACATTGCCGACTACATCACAAGACTTTCACTTTGTCACATACACTGACTGACATACTTAGTATTTGCTTTCCACATCCTAACTTGCATCAAAGCCCATTCACCATTCACACTTTGCACTCACTGATATTGCTTCTGGTCTAGACAAAGCCTTGAATTAAAATTCTCATCCCTGTTCTCAAATGCCTCCATGGCCAGTTTGCCCCTCCCTATCATCGTAATCTCCTCCAGCCCCACAGCCCTTTGAGATCTCCACAATCCTCTAATTATGGCCTCATGAAGAACGCAATTCCTATCGCTCCACCATCAGCAGCTGTACTTTCACCTGCCTGAAGCTCTGGAATCCCTTTCTTAAACCTCTCCACCTCCCTCTACCTCTCCCTCTGCCTTTAAACTGCTTCTTAAACCTGTCCTAATCACTCACTGTGTCAGTTTTTTTATATGATTTTGCTCCTGTGAGATGCCTTGAGATGTTTAATCATTTTAAAAGTACAGAATCCAAGCTCTTTTTGTCGAAAGCTGATGGGTGTGTACATTGATTTGTGAGCAAAGAACAATCACAGCCCTAGCACTTTGCACATGTTCACTATGCAACTTCACAGCAGGAAGAACTGGGTGGAGCTCTTTCCATCCCATGAACAGCTCCTCAGTTGCTTTGACAAGGAGATGATGGGGAGGGCAAGGGGAATGGAATATAAACAAGAAAGAATGGGAAGATTACGTGATCCCTGATTTAATCCGGTGAGGTTGCAAGGTGCTTTTGAAATACTTTGATAAGGCAAATCAGGACAGGAGTTATACACTTAATGGTAAGGTCTTGGGGAGTGTTGCTGAACAGAGAAACCTGGGAGTGCAGGTTCATTGAGACATACAAGATGATCAGAGGATTAGATAGGGTGGACAGTGGGAGCCTTTTTCCTCGGATGGTGATGGCTAGCACGAGGGGACATAGCTTTAAATTGAGGGGTGATAGATATAGGACAGATGTCAGAGGTAGGTTCTTTACTCAGAGAGTAGTAAGGGCGTGGAATGCCCTGCCTGCAAAAGTAGTAGACTCGCCCACTTTAAGGGCATTTAAATGGTCATTGGATAAACATATGGATGATAATGGAATAGTTTAGGTTAGATGGGCTTCAGATTGGTTTCACAGGTCGGCGCAACATCGAGGGCCGAAGGGCCTGTACTGCGCTGTAATGTTCTGTGTTCTATGTTCTATAGTTCCTTGAAAGTGGAGTCGCAGGTAGATAGGATAGTGAAGAAGGCATTTGGTACACTTGCCTTTACTGGTCAGTGTATTGAGTATCGGAGTTGGGAGGTTATTTTGCACCCATACAGGACATTGGTTAGGCAACTTTTGGAATATTGTGTTCAGTTCTGGTCTCCCTGCTTTGGAAGGATGCTGTGAAACTTAAAAAGGGTTCAGAAAAGATTTACAAGGGCGTTGCCAGGGTTGGAGAGTTTGATCTATAGGGAGATGCTGAATAGGCTGGGATGATTTTCCCCTGGAGCATCAGAGGCTGACATTACAGAAGTTTATAAAATCATGAGGGGCACAGATAGGGTGAATAGTCAAGGTCTTTTTCCCAGGGTAGGGCATAGGTTTAAGGTGACAGGGGAAAGACTTAAAAGGATCCTAAGGGGCAACGTTTAGACACAGAGGGTGGAGCATGTATGGAACGAGCTGCCAGAGGAATTGGTGGAGGCTGATACAATTACAACATTTAAAAGCCATCTGGATGAGTATATGAATAGGAAGGGTTTAGATGGATATGGGCCAAATGCTGGCAAATGGGACTAGATTAATTGAGGATATCGGTCGGCATGTACAAGTTGGACTAAAGGGCCTGTTTCTGGGCAGTACATCTCTATGACTCTATGACCTCCAAATAAGAATGAAGAATCTTGGTAGACTCATTGCTTTTTATCTGCATCTGGTGCATGGCAATGATTGGCAACACAGATAGAATTCTGAATTACAGAACAGCCAAATACAAAACAGATTGTGTTTAAACTGTAGGGCACTTTTAGCAGTGTGTCCAGTGCTGGTCACTGAGATATAATCAAGACTATACAATAGCTGGATGTGGTACAGGGAAGCGTTAATCCTTAGAGTCAAGGATCAGAATTATGAGAACAGACTGAGAGGCCTGATCTTTTTAATCCGCAGAAGGTGGAATTAGTCAGGCGATTTACTAGCTGAACGCACGATAACAAATGGTGTGGAAAAGGTTAGTCTGGAATATTAGTTTAAATTGAACAGATGGAAGGGACACAAAGTGATCTGAGTTCAAAATGGTAAAAATTATTCGAGGATTGATACTTAGGGGTTCTGCATGTGGGGCTGAGTGACACTTGAAATGGACCCTGGGCAGAACGGGTTGAACAAGTAATCTGCAATCATTCAGCAACATCATCTGTGTCCGTAAGAAGAAGTGTAATGTTGTTTAGGCTGGATTGATTAAACAGTCTTTTACATCTGTAGTACTTTGTAAGGAGGATTACTGTGCAGGTCAAGGCAGCTGTGACTCAGGAGCAATGTCAGATGAAACCAACAGAGAGAGAGGGGCTGAAGCTTAAAGTGACTCCTTTCCCCAAAGGAATGAGTCTCTGGAACCAATCCAACAATAACCAGTGGAGACCGTCAGAGTGAATGATTTCCTATTCCTCCTTCTCTCTGTCTCCTGACCTCCCTTCTCTCACAAGCCACACTCAATCAGAGAAGCAGCCTCTGTGCTGTTTTCCTTCATTACATTCTCTGCTGGAGTGTGAACATGTGCTAGGACTCTATGCCTGCAAAAAATTCATGGTACGTGTGAACTCAATTAATTTGTAAATTGAACCCAATTCCCAGGACGGTTAGTCCTGTAACTATATTCCCTTCCTCTCTCCAATTTGATAAGATGTCGTGGGCTGCTATTCTAGGTAGTTTAGCTGTTCCCCGCGGGAATTAGTTCAATATAACTGCAGCAGCATGCAATTATGTAGAATGTTATAGCACTGAAAGAGGCCATTTAGCCCATTGTGCCTGTGCTGTCTCTTACAAAGAGATGTCCGATTTAGCACCATGACTTTTCCCCCTTCAACCTACAGATTGGACCTCTTGTTGAGGCTTAGTTATAGAGAGAGATTGGATAGACTGTGTTGTTTCCTTTGGAGCAGGAGAGACAGGGGAGGAGGGTATGCTTCAGATGTGTAAAATTATAAGGGACATAGACAGGAAGGATCCTTTTCCCTTGGTGGAAGGACCAATCACCAGGATGCATAGATTTGCAGGAAGGGGCAAGAGGTTTAGAGAGGATGTGAGAAAGAATTTATTCATGCAGAGGGTATTGGAAATCTGGAACATGCTGATTGTAAGGGTGGTGGAGTCAGAAACCTTCATAACATTTAAGAAGTATTTAAGGCAATGGGCCAAGTGCTGGAGAGTAGGATTAGAATAAATAGGTGCTTAGTTTTGACCAGCACAGATTCAATTGGCCAAAGGATTGTTTTTCTCTGCTGTAGACATCTATGACTGTATGATTCCATGCCATTATGTTGCAAGTTTCAGTGTAACCTTATTTCAGATCTTAATAACCATAGGAGTGAAGAAATGCCTAATTTCCAATTATTTTAAACCCATGACCGCTGGTGACCAAGACACTTATCGGAGTTATACATTATTCAGCACGTGCTGAGTCCTTAGTCCTCATAATTTTGAATAACTTGATTAAATCTGCTCCAAGAAGAATAATCCCAGTTTCTGCTGTCTCTCCATCTAAATGGAGTCTCTCATCCTTGGTATCATTCTGGTAACCTACTTCTGCACTCTAAGGTCTTGAGACCCTTCCTAAAATGTGGTCCCCAGGATGGTTGATTGTATTTGAGCTGGACTTTGTAAAAGTTTGACATTGGTTTTGATTTCAATGCTGACATTTACAGAGC